TTACACACACACACACACACACACACACACACACACCCCATCATACCTCAACATATGCTTTATTTCTCAATGTAATCACCTTCCCGCTGGACGCATTTTTCCCATCCCTGGATCGGGAAGAAGATACTCTCCCTGAAGAATATTTCGTCAAGGGATTTCAACCTATCTTTCACGGCTTTCTTCGTCGTCGGTGAATCGCTGTCCAGAAATATGGCGTTTCATTAGTCAAAAAAAGGTGATAATCTGACGGGCCAAGTCAGGACTGTGAGGGGGGGGGGGGTGTGGCAGAACTTCCCAGCGAACCTTTGAATCCAGTCTTTCGTAGCATTTGCGGTGTGTGGTGTTGCATTTTCATGCTGCAAAATGGACTCATTGACATCCGTATGCGCGACTTTGAACGTACTACACCACTCGTATACCTGTGACTTTGCCATTACTTTTCCCCCATAAACTGGCTTTATTTCTGTCTGTATTTCTATAGGTTTGAAACCTTTTTGCTGTCGAAAACCGAAAGACAGACCTCACTTCTAACCTTGACCAATTTTCCAAGGGGGTAGCCATCTTTGAAGAATTGCTGTGTTAGTTTCGTTAGTGCGATGCTCATAGTGCTCAATCGGCAAATTTCTAAATGATTGTTTTACAAGGGTGGGTTTACAGAATGTGAAAATATTGAATGGTTTTCAAATTACAGCCACATTCCGTTTTTCCGTGGGACAGCTCGTACATTTTGACACTTAGACTGACTTAGACTAGGGTGGGCGTTGCAATCATCCCATATACTGAGTGTATAGATAAGGTTAAATGGGTCGTCACACAAAGGGTAAAAGCTCATACAGGACTGGTACAAAAATGGTGAAAGATGTACTTGATGTCTAAAAAAGGACACATCTAAAGCCTTTAACTAAAGTGCAATAAGTCGGTTATCTTTGCATCAATTTATATGAAACGACTAAAACTCAACCCCATGATGTTTAAGTCTTTAATGTGATAAAAAATAACTCATGTATTAAAGAAATGATGTTTTATAGCAAATTCATCCAACATTGAGAAAAAAGTAAAACTGTTTTTCTCAAAAACATTCAGCAACATGGAGGCGCCGGATCTGCCCGTTCCTGTTTCAGGACAAGAACTATAAAACCTCGCCGGTCACATCAGATGGATATTTCATTGTTGTGAACAAGTTTTGGAAACATTTAGGAGGAGAAGAGACAATTGTGCTTTTTTTTATCAAGCCTGCTTCCTGCATGGCTGATCCACACTCTACAGATCAAGACATGAGCACCCCTGCGTGGATGCAAGAAATGTTTGGGGGACACCTTCCAAGCCAAAAACTTACAAATAAATACTCACTACAACTCCGGACTTGAACCCTCTCGATTATTTTCCTTGGGTTTTTTCTATCTCTTTTTTTTTCGTTGATAGATAGAGTCTACCGAAATAACCCATAGACAATTGAACACTTAAAACTTAAAGTTTAAAAGTAAGTGTAGGGAACTGACCCAGAAACATGCTTCAAGAATATTTGAAATTTCCAGTGACGTATTCGAGCTTGTTAGGAGAGAGATAAGCCTCCATCTTTCCTTAATTACTTTGCAATGTCAACGTTATATAATCTTGGTCTTCTATGCCACATACCCATTATGGTTGACATAACTTTCTTTTGGCTGAGATGCTTAAAACTGGATAATTCTCGAACACGTGAGTAGACATTTTGTCCATAATGATACATTTGATGTCCCTTTAGTCGAATTCAATTGGCTATTAGTTTTTGTGAAATTGGTCTAAAGAGGACCTTTAAAAGGGTCCAGTTTTAGACACTCGATACAATCGTAATGATTCTAATGATGATGATGATGATCCTTGATGTATACAATGATGATGATGATGATGATGATAATGATGATGATGATGATGATGATGATGATGATGATGATGATGATGATGATGATCTAATGTTGGAACTATTGTGCATGTTAATCTTAGTGTAAAGTGTATTTCACTCTTTGTTTGGCGCTTACTCTGGATCCCCACCAGGCTGTCCTGGGGGGACAGGACACAACCCTCATTCCCAACTCCTCGCATTGAGTGACCAGAAATTTTGAAATAAGTTGTCATCTTCATCCCTAGGATTTAATAAAAGTATGCCGAAAAATCCCAAGGGGGCCGCTTCTAAGTGATGATATTGTTAGTATGCCCTACGTCTATACTGTCTTCAAAACAGTGAAAGGGGTGTGGCCAATAACCTTTGTAATATTTTTCATAAGCAATGCAGTTGCGTTCCGTAACAAAGGATTAACACGTGTAGGCTAACTTGTGTGCTTACAAGCTATCGCTGTGGGCATTCTCCACTGGTCCTGGGGCACTTCTGTGATCGTCGTATCCTTCAAATTAACTGATCGCAATACAAACGTACAAACATACAATGTCATAGCCCTAAAATCACACATGCATACAAAAACACCAGTGTGGAAGCTCTTAATTTACATAATAATACACTCATATGTAAGTAAATAAATAACAAGATTATCATGGAAATAGTGCATATTTTATTCTCAATTTTCATTGTGAGCCAATTCATTCTAAATAAATTTCTTTCTAATTTCATTATGACCTAACACCAAAACGTGAAACAGCATACTAATATTCAAGTACCTCGTACTTTAGATTGTAGAATAAATTACAATATACGATTCTTCTTAGCATAGGATCTGAAACATTATGAGAGTCTGGAGGACATAATCACACATTATCACTCCTGTATAAATTCAATTCTTTATGACTAAAGTAGTTATTACTCAAAGAAAAATTAAATTTAGTAACTGATATACACAGGTAAAACCAAAACAAAATCGAAAAAGATAATAGTAAGCACAAAAATGTGAATTTCAACCAGTCCTTGAAATCTAGAGTAATATAAATAGGAGGAAATATTATTTGCACAAACTATTCTCAATAAAACATTTACTAAGAGTCAGCTCAGAGATGTCTTTCCTGCCTAAGAACGAATATTTCCAGAGATGAATATTACAGAAAAGAGAAGGTATTTATTGGCAGAAGAAAATACCCATGAATCATAATAACTCACCAAGGGTAGCAACTTGGCTATTTTTCCTCTTCCTACTCATAGAAAACGTATGTAGATTCTACGTCATTGTCATGTTGTTTTCAGCAAACCCTATGTCTATGAAGTCACCATGAGTGTCTTCGAACTTTCCTTCCAGAACAAACTCATATCTCTTACGATCAACGAGCCTTTCTACTAGTATGTCCATCACCTGACTGTCCAAAGTAGATTTATCCCATAGCTCTTGTTCGTCTGACAAAGCAACAAAAAACGGCTTGCCTTCATCGCCAAATTGGTACACTGCGTCATTACCACTTTTCTCCGTGTATCGTTTGAGGTCGTCAGTATATTCAGTGAGCTGTGCAATTTCAGTTTTAAGGCGCCCCTCCAACTGCACAGAACAATGGATGAGAATGGTGGCCTGATAATTCTGTGTGGTCTGTTTCCTGTACAGATCCGCTGTCCATCTCGATTCTGTGTAAGGCCCCAGTTCTCTGTGCCTTTCAGATTGTCTCCTTGTACTCGTTATTTTAATCGTCTTTGCTTTTCCTTGGTCGGAAGTTATATCGAAGACGAATTCTTTCCCGAGGTCTCCAGTATTAAATACAGGATAGTAGCTCACCTCAACTCCTATCCCATCGGGTCCCTTCCACGGACTCTTAAGTGTGTGTTTTACAGTACGGCTGATGTTGAAGGTGTTCCTAACCGTTTCCATAATTGGTAATGGACTGTCATTGATAAAATCACCCCTGTCAATTTCTTCCGGTGGTAAGTCTACAGTTTTCGGCTTCGAATAGGAGTGACTCAGCACTGTGAACTTCCAATCCTTATAACTGATTTTTAGCTGAGGATTGTCTCTATGCTCACACTTCTTCGCCTCCCAAGCAGTTCCATTTTTCACGAAATTGTCCCCAACTTCTTGCCCAAAGCAACCTTTAGCCCCATCATAGCCCAGAAAAGATGCGATCTCAGCCAGTCCTTTCAGAGATTGCAGCATGATCTTGTCCTTTGCGACTTCAAGAGAATCGATTATGAATTCACGAGAGGAGGGCATACTACAACACTTCAACATCCTCACGCAACTCCAACCACGGCAAGAGTCTCTCTGCAGTCCTGCAAGAAAGTAGTCCTTATCGCACATGGTGGATGTCGTGGTGTCCTGTCTATAACATCGCTCGTAAGAGCTGGGTGCGCTAACCTCCTTCGTACATCGGCCCTCTTCCAAAGCGTGAATACCGTTCTCATTCTTAGTGAACTTGAACCCTTGTAAGAAATATCCAGCCGGACAAAACACCCATGTTTGTTTGGAATCCAACAATGTCCACCAGTTGTCAACCAATGTGTGAGTGTTTAAACGTGAAGAGAAAGCCGTAACGCAGCTTGGGTTCTTCAGGGAGTGCTCAGATATGAGAGTGGGAAAACCTTTGATCACCTCCTTTCTGGACTTACAAAACCTTGTTTCATATTTCCGGTCTGAGTTTCGGTTGCATGCTAAGCAGACCATAGACAGGAACCACAGGCACAGCACCGCAACGGACAAGACCCTATATTCCGTCATTATTTCTGTTATACATCCAACTACGATGGCGACTTGTCACAGCCTGAAAAGTAGAGGGAAACTTTCGTTGTCTTCGTCTGCAGTTGCGACTTTTGTAGGCTATTTGCTGCGGTGTGCTACTTATTAAACTTAAATTTATATATTACTCCTTATCCCAGATGTCAACTCGTGACTGCAGTGGGTAGTCCCTGGTGTTGACAGTCAGAGTTATTGCCTCTCATCATTTGTATATGTGTGGAACGTTCCCGAGAACGTGGGCTGAGTGGCGGCCGGAACTGGCGTTAAGAGTTGCTACTTAGGTCGGGATGGTGACGTCTGTCCTGGGTGATGAGTGATATTCGGGGGGAAAGAGTTTGTGGTAATGAGAGAAGT